ACATCTCAACAGTGAGCATGCACTGGATGATAGAAGTACAGCCCAATGCAGAGTACAAATGCAGGTTGTACAACAGTTAGAGCTGCAGGTAAAGTTACATTTTATATCAATATTGTTTTATATTAATATTGAATTCAGTGAAATGAGATTTGCTTTTTCTAATGGTCATGTGGAAAAGAGCTTTCAAAACTTATCTAGAACCATTTTTAAAAGCTGTTGTAGAGATCGGACCTTGGCTTCCTCAGTTCTATAAGCTGAAAAGAAATTAAAAGCTTGAGTGCTCTGAATTATTTGCAGTTATCAGTACATGTTGAATATATTTTACACTTACATTTCAGTCTTAGTAACGATGTGTATGTTGTATTCTATTGCACAGAACTGGTATAATCAGCAAAAGAGGCAATGTTCATTTTCAAAGCTTGTCCAAGATTGGGTTTGAGATCACCGTGCTCTTCAGCCTAGAAAATTATATCTCTACATTGTATTATATGTAAATCTTAAATCCTGATATGTATCAATTTCTCTATCGTGAAACTGATTTACCTATAATCAATTTCTAATAAGAGTAAATTAGAGTCTACAAAGACCAACACTTGCAATATTACTGCAGCCCTTTCAGAAAAGTGTGTTTCAGAATGCTTCCGAGCCTTGATCGTCTATGCCTTGCTACTCTTTCTGAGTTGCCTTTCTTTGTGTGTAAAGGAGGAGGCAAAAGGGTTGGCCAATGAAGACAAATTAAAACAATATTGTACATTGTAGTTACTATTCCTTAAAAAATTAAAAATCACCCTATTTTGTATGCAAGATGGTAATGTAGAGATATATGGAAAGCCGTGGGCTAAGTACAGAAGATAATTGCATTTGGAATTTTACTGAGTTAGTCATTTATAGCTTCAAATAGTTATAGAGAAAAATCAGCAAAAACACACTTAAACTTTTTGTTGTTACTTTTTCCTGATAACCATGACTTTATATTTTAAAAATCCCTTTTATCTTCTTATCTCACAAATTAGACACTTTTTGTCCAGATATCCTTCTAAATTTTACTTTCTATAAAATTATGGGCCTGATGACCTCTTACTATCATTAAAAATACTTTAATACAACTTCTGTGAAAAAATCAAACACATAGGAATTATAAACTTCATCAACTCATGAAAAATGTTATACAGTTGGGGATGGTTTTTCCTTGCTGCTAAATATAGTCTGAATTTTGCTGGTAAGCTCAGAGGAGATTATCCATCAAGTAAATGAATGCAATTTAAGAGAAGTTAATTCATCCTGTATGAAAAAAAAATCTCCAAATACAAGTATTTCAGCAACAGAATAACTGCCCATGGGGGCTAGAGAATCTCCACACTTGGAAGTTTCAAGAAGAGGCCACACTGTGTAAAGCGCTCAATTTGCCAAGCAATTCTGTGTCATAGGGTCTTTGAAGTTAGTTTCCTCCATGATGGTAGCCAAGGAGTGGTTAGAAGTAGGTCTTGGCCATATACACAGCTCTCACTATGTAAACTAGTGCAAGATGTCCTTGTTTAATTTTTTTCCAGATGGTAGGAAATGAAGTTCAGGAATGAAGTTCCACTCCTCTGTCTGTCTGTCTGTCTATTTACAGTATTTATTGACTGTTCTGTAGCAAACACTCTCAGAATGGCTTAAGCATAAAACGTAATAACAATATCATAGCCATAGTGAGCATAACAATTCAAAAATGATAACAATTAGCAAGAAAAATAAAAGAATAATTAATAACACAAGACACTAATCCACAGTTTCTGATCTTTCCCTGACTTTAATCTTCAGGAAAACTAAAAACTGAACTGCAATATAGAGCACAGAGAGTTTAAAGGAGATACTGAATCAGTTCATCTCCTATTAATCTTTCCCTAGTTGCCAATCTCACATCTTCCAAATGCCAACAAGGTATAGAGATTTATCAGTGAAATCTTGTGTTTTGCTATTACTTTGCTTATTGACTGGGCTTGCATAACACATATCCTACTATAGGTAACTAGCCATGATGGATTGGGGTAGGTGGTTTTGGGATAAAAAGCCATTCTAATAATCCATGGCTTGTTCTAGCCCTGGGCTGCTGAACTCATGATGCATTGGCATGTCTTCCAAACCACAGAAATAGAATCCCTTGTGAACTGTGGAAAAGAGCAAGTGTGCTACTTGGAAAGAATAGCAAACATAATAAAGTATTTCCTATACTTTGTGAGCTTGTATGTGTTACCATCAGTAAGGAGGTTTGAAGAATCTGATGGTGGGAATGAAAATTTGATGGACAAGGTAAAAATCTTAAGGACACCCCCTTTTTGTGATTTTTTAAATTAGGGCTCTTAACTGCACTTTACTGATAGCTGTCAAAAATCCCAGTTGAACTGGATAAACTGAAGAGTTTTAAGTTCTGGAAATTTGCAGCTTTTTGACAAGGAAATATATAGAGATTCCGTATCTGGGAAGGAAATTTTGCAGTAACTGTAGATGTGGGAAGGTGTCCCAGTAGTGGAGAGTACTAAGAAATATCAGTGCAACACTGAAAACTTTAGCTGATTACTTTGCTATGGGGGGGGGGGATTTACAGGCCACCCCATTTAGTGCTCTTACCATCATGGTTTCTTCCCCAATTGCTGAGGTGTTCTGATTGACAGTAGGCAGCTGACAGGTGTCAACTGTTTACTCTTTAGCCTTTATGTAGTCTGGCTTTGTTGTTCTTTTACTGTTTGATATTTTTAACTGACATGGTAATAGGTCAAGCAAGACTACATATATTTTTAACAGCGGTGGGTGCTATATTTTTTATCAGCCATGCATATTAGCAGCTCATTCAGACAAGGGAAAACATTACAGACCCTTGATCTTTTTAAGGCACCCCAAAATTTAGGAGAAAATGTGGGAAGATAGTGTTGGTTGCTCCAAAATATACTTGCTTGGGCACTGGAAAGTAACTGTCACTGGTAGCAGAACAAGGCACCAGAGGCAAAAAGGAAAAAAGAAGAAAAAGAAATGAACTGGGATCGTGTACAGAGCAGGGAGTGGGAGACAATGTGAAATTTGCCACATAGGGCTGGGGATACTGGCTTGAGAACTGAGGGAAAAGAACAGAGAGAATAATACCATAGAAAGCCAGATCATCTGATGAGCACACTCTAGGTCATTCCACAAACAATTCACACTGCTGCTATTTGTGCGAATCACCCATTTTGTCTGCTGATGTCAAAAACTGAGGTCTTCCAAGAGATAGGGCAAGAGTATCTGCTGAGGTCCAATAAGCATTGTTGTCAATATATTTTTTCTCAAAGGGGTGACTTGATCACATATGAGGCATATCTCACTTGATTGCAGTCAGACCCAGCCTTTTAATTATGAGGCTTAGGAATGTTCCATAAACATTTGAATGCCATATTATCATCAGCCTGATGTCTCAGGTTTTCATCAGTCCCATGGTGCAGGATGGCCACCTCCACCATAGTCTGAAATTACTTCAAGACTGAAGATACTTTCTTTTGTGAAGTCACCCTACATTGCCTCAATCAAAACCTGCTGGGGTCTGTAGCCTGCTGGAGCAGTTAGTGTGGCCAAAGCCAGTCAGTATGCAACAACCACAGCGACAATGACATTTGCATCCAGGCATTCATTCCCCTTTCCCAACTTCTACAGGGCTCCCTCCATTAGCTTTGTTAGGAAAAAGAGTATATAAAAACAGTGACCCAAAAAGGGCTATGTGGGTGTGTGGCCTGGGACTGGTCTGGACTGAGAAGCCTGGCCCATGGGCTGGAAATAGCTCACCACCAGACTACTGCATGCTGAGCAGCATAAGGCTTTAGCAGAAAACATCACATCTGTCCCTGCCAGCAGCACATTGCTTGTCATAACGTTCAAGCATTATATAGAGTAGGAATGGACAGAAGTACTAAGTCTGTTTCCCTGCACTCATGTTTAATTACTTAATTTCTGTACTGCCCAACAGCTGAAGCTTTCTTTTTCCAACCATGGGCCATCCAGGGTTTGGGATTTATTTATTTTTCATTCTAAGAAAAATATAAGCATTTTTTAAATGGATGCATTAACGCACCTAATCCTCCATTGACTGGCTTCTCTGCATCTTATAAATCTACTCATTTTTGCATATTTTAAAGTGTATGCATCTTGTCAAACACAGTATTTTAGATTGGCACTTCAGAAATGTGAAAAGAAATGAGCACAGACAAACAGAAAGTAAAAACACAAAAAAGGGAGTAAGGCAGTGCAGCTGGAGCTTGGATAATGTCAGCAAACTTGAACATCTTTGATTCTCCCATCTCCATCTTGATCCTGGTCCTCTGATTTCCGAGAATATGTCTGCTTTCACTGCTTATCAAACAGGCAAAGGAAGTGGAGCATTGATTGGCCCATGTGATCAAGAAATGCAGGTCTACAATAAATTTTCCAGTAATAAAAAGATCATTTCATACTATTTTCTAAGAGTAGTTTACAAGTCATTCCTGGGATTTGCTAAAGCAAAAAATCTAGAATCTAGATTCTAGATTAAAAAACTTCATATGCTATAGGTTGTTGCTTTACTTTGGAGCCAGTTGTATTACTACCCCTAGCAGATAGCAGAGCTCACAAGTCACTGTTTTGTTGAAGCATCTGATTATGAAGATCATAAAACTGCCAATAACTATTTCCCTAAATATAATCCTTTCTGCATAGCCCAGATAAGAGTACGTATTTATGAAGGACAGTGTTGCCTATTCTGATTGGCAAATGTTCTCCAGGATTTTTAGCAGAGGGATTGATTTCCTATCAACTGGTATCATTTATTCAACTGATTTTTGATTCGATTTCTACACTGCCTTTTTACCAAGAAAAAATGGCACTCAGGGCATCTTACAATAATAAATAAAAAACAGTAGTATACCAATGTGTTAAAACACAATTAAGAATGCAGCAACAACAGTTAAAATATTATCTGGTCCAACAGACCCCTCTATACATCAGAGGCCTACTTGTATGCAAAGGTCTTTTTCTGCTAGTAGAGACAGTAGTAGAGAGAGGGAGAGTTTCTGGTCAACCTTGGATGGAAAGGGTGTTGAGCAGCTC